AATACCCACTGCTCTAGCGCCCGGGACGGTTGAAAGTCTTTCCCAATGCAGCTGGGAGGCACCGTGTGCCACTTTCACTCTGAATCTCCAAGACTCTATCTTGATCCCTGCCTCAGTTTCCCCCTCTGAGTTTCTCTGCTTTTCATTCAGCCATCCCTCACCTTCTATTTGCAGAAGGTGGTACGATGCAAGGGTTATTAACCTGCACTCTTGAGTGCGGACGGCTGAGGCCTGAATCTCAGAGCGTGAGAGACCTGGGGCACTCAGTGTTCACGGGATCCAGTCATTCATTCATTCCACAGACACAGGAGCGGGCCAACGCCGGCCAGGTGTTGTGGATCTGTCCTGTCTGTCCCCTGCTGTGTTTGTGGGAGTCTCTCCTTCCTTGGTGCTCTGTCCTTCCATCTCTTAGGGCAAAATGATCTGCCTTTTCCTGCCTATCTCCCTGTGACTCTGACATTCATTTAGCATTGACCCCGCCTCAGCACTGTGCTGGGAGATGCCAAGGACACAGTGGTGACCAAAACTGACCAGGCCTTGACTTCATAGCCCCGCCTGCTCCTAGTTCAGACCCTTCACCAGACAGTGACAAGCCCAGAAGTGGACAGAGGGGCCAGGTCTGGGATTATGGGACAGAGGGAGGAGGGGTCCTGAGTGAAGGGGCCAGGCCTGGGATGGGGGACAGAGGCAGGGGGCCAGAGCAGAGGGGCCAGGTCTGGGATTTGGGGGCAGAGGTAGGGGTCCAGGGTGAAAGGGCCAGGTCTGGGACTGGGGGTCACAGGCCGGGGTCCAGGGCTGGGATAGGGGGCCCAGGGACTTGTGACATGTATGGGAGGTGCTTCTGTGTGCCCAGCACAGGGTCAGGTCCAGAGTGGGTCTTCAGTAAGTGTTTGTTTTTTGTTTAAAGATTTTATTTATCCATTTGAGAGAGAGAGAGAGCACAGGCAGGGGGAGAGGCAGAGGGAGAGGGAGAAGCAGACTCCCCGCTGAGCCAGGAGCCCGACATGGGGCTCGATCCCAGGACTTGGAGATCATGACCTGAGCCAAAGGCAGACGCTTAACCATCTGAGCCACCCAAGCGTCCCAGTAAATCTTTGTTAATGAACAAACTGTCTGTAATGAAGAATGGCGCTTCCATCCTTCCAGTCGCTCGGGCCATCAGGCTCTCATCTCCAATCAAGTGCTTTCTTACACCTCACATAAGACCAGTCAGCAAATCCTGTTGTCAGTAGCTCCAAACCTACCTAGAACGCACCATGTCCCTTCCTCCCACTACCCGACTCCACCCCCACACCCAGGCCTCCCACCTGGAGCAGAGCAGACACCCCTCACTGCCCTCCTGATCCTGCCCCTAGCAGGCTATTGCCCTCATGCAGCCAGAGAGACCCTGGGAACACCTGAGCCAGATCACAGCCCCTCTTTGCTCAGAAGCCTCTTGTGGCCCCATCTTACACAGAATAAAACCCATCCTCATTGTGGCCCACGAGGCCCTGTGTGTCTCCCAGCCCCATCACCTCCCTGATCCCATGTCCTTCCTTTTCTCACTCTGCTTCAGCCACCCTGGCCTCCTGGCTGCTTCGCAAACATATATACTCAGATTACTCCTACCTCAGGGCCTTTGCACTAACAGTTCCTTCTACCCAGATGCTTTTCCCCAGATGTCTACATGGCAACCTCCTTCCTTTGGGACTTTCCTCAAATGTCACCTTCTCAGTGAGGTCTCCCTGACCAACGTGTCTACAATTTCACTCACTACTACCACCACCAATCAACACCCCACATCCTCCTCCTCCCTGCTTTATGTTTTCTCCTTCTCACTCACATACCACATTTGACTCATTTATCTTGGCGACTCTGTTTCCCCCACTAGAATGTCAGCCCCACATAGACAGAACTGGGCCAGAGGAGCTGAACTATGAATTGGAGAAGGAGGGCGAGGTCTCAGGTCCAGGACAGAGAATGTCAGAATCGGGACAGGCAGATGGGCAGGCTTTTAGGGCCAGAATGTGGGGAGAGGCATCATGGGCAGGGAAGGGGAGACCTCAAGGCTGGGAGGTGGAACAAGGGAGACCTTAGCGACAGGAGAGTGTCCAGGGCTGGGGGAAGCTGGGAGAAGACAAGAACCAGGGATGCCGCCACGCAAGGGCCGCCCCACTCACCTTGACCCTGAAGGGGCAGCGGGTCTGGTCCACCAGCATGATGTTCTCGGGCTTGAGATCAGCATGGATGATGGCCAGCTCCTTGAGCCGGGCCAGGGCTCTGAGCACCTGCAGGGTGACCGTGCGGATGTGGCGGGCAGGGAGGGGTGCGAAGTTGTTCTCCTTCTGGAATTCGAAAAGGTTTTGCTCCAGCAGCTCGAAGACCAGGTAGAACTTGAGGGCGTCGTGGAAGAACTCGAGGAAGCGGATGACGTGGGCCTCCTCTGGGTCCAGACCCCTCATGCAGCGCAGTAGCTTCAGCTCGTTCTTGATGATGCGGTTGCGGTAGGCGTCGTTCTTGAGGATCTTGATGGCCACCATCTCGCCCGTGCTTCGCCGCCAGCCCTTGGCCACCTCCCCGAAGGTGCCCTTGCCCAGCACCTCGATGATGTCATAGCAGTCGGTCTCGGACTGGATGGTGGCCATGGTGCCCCTGCCACTGGACGCAGCCCTGTCCCCACCCCCCCCCCCCGCAGGCTCTGCCTTCGAAGGCTTCCGGCCCGCCACCGGCTCCGAGGCCCCCCCAGCGAGGGAAAGAGAACCGCACTCGTACCTCCCGCTTCGAGGTTCGCCCCCACCTCCCTGGCACCCCTCAGCCCCCTGGGCCACACTGCCAGTCTGCCAGGGGCCACACCCCTCCCCCAAAGCCCTCCTGGCTTGGGACGAGGGGCCCCAGGCCCCCCCGAGTGGGTTCCAGCGTTGCTGAGTGGCTCTGGTTCTGTTGTCGGAGACCTGAGCCCCAGACTGGAATGGGGGGTGGGGTGGCAGGTCGAGCCCCCTCCCCCACCCCAGTGGCGGAAGCCCGGAGGGGCTGGACCCGGGTGAAGGGTCAACTGAGAAGGAAGTCCAATCCTGGACCTCTGGCATGGAGGACTGGGACATTCCTAAGCAGAGGTGAAGAGCTTGGGAGATGCGTGTGTGCGTGCGTGCGTGTGTCTGTGTGTGTGTGTGTCTGTGTGTGTGTGTGTGTCTCCGTGTTCAGCAAACACCCTCCCCTGCCTGTGGCTGCCATGGGGGAGGGAGGTGCCACTGAAGCAGGACCAGGTGGTAAAAGGTCTTGAATGCCAGGCTAAGGAGTTTGGACCCATTTATCTGAGGGCAGTGGGGAGCCACAGAAGGGCTCTGAGCAAGGGAGGACAGGGTCAGATTTAAGTGTCAGAAAGCTACCGTGTGAATAAGAGTGGCGGGGACAAGAGTGGAGGCCCAGAACCTGGAGCGGGGCCCAGGGGAGGGAGGTTGGTGTGCAGGGGAGGAGGCTGGTGTATGAGACAGGAGGCCAGGAGGCCAGGCTGTGGGACTGACAGGTTGTGGGGGGGAAAGGAAGGAACCATCCAGAACAAGGACCAGGGCTCAGGGATGGTCCCTGGGACAGGGACGTGGATAAGGAGCACTTTAGGGGAGAAAATGCTGATGTCAGATTAGGAGATTGAACACTGAAACCTTTAGACACGTCTTGAGTGCTTTAGAAGACTTATCCGATCCTTACACATACGTTTTAATAGCTCCATTTTATGGAAGAGAAAATCAAGACACAAAAATGAAAAAAATGCCTAAGGGCACCCAGCGACACGCTTTGACCCCAAGCATTCTGGCTCTAGACCCAAGCTCTGAACCACTGCCACGTCCAGGGGAGGCACACAGGGGACACTAGATTCCCATGTGGACCATAGGGAGGGTGACCTGGCCTGGGGGGGAGGTGGGGGAGGATGAAGGCCTGGGAGGAGTCCTGAGGGCCCAAGGGGCAAGAGGAGAGAGAGAAGGAGTGGGGAAGAGAGAGAAGAGAGAGTTCAGGAAGGAGGAAGGGACCCCGAGAAGTCAGGACAAGGGAGCCAGGGGAAGCCCTCAGCGTGGCCACAGAGAGATCACTATGGACACTGACAGGTCAGCCGTGGTGGGAGGGAAACCCCAAATGTTGGGGGGGTTGCTGGGCAAAGGGTGTGCGCCATAGGTATAAATCATTCCTGCCATATTTGGTGGAAATGAAGAGAAACCATGCGCCCCGGAGGTGACCCGAGGGAGGCCAGCTTTAACGGAGAAGGTGCTGGAGTAAGTCAGGGGTGTGTGACAACTCCAGGGCATGGTGGGATGTGAGGACAGTGGATAGGCAGATATGGGGACGTTGGGGGGACACTCGGGACTGGACAGAATGTCTTCTTGGCCCAGCCTGGGGCACTGCAGAGAGACGTGTGGGAGTCTGGAGCTCCTTGGTGGGGGCTTAGGTCCTGTGTGGGGCTGGGGCCCTGGGAGCCGAGGCCTAGCCCTGACAGGAGCTGAGGACCCTGGGACCTAGTCCTAAGAGGCAGCCAGGGACCTGGGGTGGAGGCTCTGAACCCTAGAGCCTGGAGAGCGGACCAGGAGGGGCCTTCCTGGGTGGGGCCGGGGCGGCCGGGGCAGTCAAACCAGCCAGACAGGAAAGCGATCCCCAGGATGTGGAGGTGCTCGTCGATGAGAAGATGGCCAGCAGAGGGCAGATGGGTAGCAATTGTTCTGCTCTCTCAGGGACCCCCAGGGAGGTCCTGGTGGGAGGGGTTCCCCCAGGACAGGCAGAGAGGCCTCAGCACAGGGGTCTCGCTCAGAGGCCCTGGGGAATTCTGAATGGCTAGGGCAGGCCCCGTCCCCCCCGGCTCACTGCGAATCTTCCCTGACTCTCTTCAGACCTGGGGTGGCCTGGTGTCTCCCCTCAACAGAGGCTCTCCTCAGGCCAGGCTCAAGTAAGTAGTCCCCCTCCTTGGGGACTTCTTTCCCTGCACCCTCTCCACCCTCCCCTGTCCCCCCCCGCCCCAACGAAACCCAACACAAGGCTACCTCTGGATTATTTTATTCACATGGCTTGGCAAGATACAGGCACTCCTGCCAGGGAGCCGGACATGAGGCCTCCCTGGCCCGGTCCCTGTCTGTCACCCACCTCCCGGCCCTCTGAGGGTTAGTGCTAGTTATCTCACACACAAAACAAAGAGGAGGCGGGGATGGGAAGATGGGAGGGGACTCTCCCTCTGCCCTGGGGCTTCAGACAACTGCAGCCTGAGCCCCCTCCATCCTGGCAGGGCCCGGAGCCCCTGTCTCTGAAAACCCCACGCTGGGCAGCCGGACCCGGAATCCACCCTCTTCCTGGTCCCCTCTCCCACTCCGGGCCTTGGGGCTTAGGGACACCCGGGGGAAGCGGAACTTGGGCGACTTCTCCCCACCAGGAGACTTGGGGGCTGCCTCCCCCTCCTGGCCCCGAGAGGCCTTGGAAGGGGTGGCCAGGCCTACGCGGGGCAAGCGGACCCGGACTCTGCCTCGGCGCCCAGAGGCCCCGTCCCCGCCGCCCTCCTCCTCCTCCTCCTCAGGGCTGGGGGAGCCTTCCCCAGTGACCGCCTCGCTCTGGCTGAAGCCCACTCGGGGCAGCCTGAGTTTGGGGCTCTTGGTCTTCTCACCCTCCTCAATGCCCTCCTTGGCCCGAACCAGGCCAAACCGGGGCAGCCGCATCTTGAGCTTGTGTCCGGCCTCCCCATCGCCCTCGGCCACCTGGTACTCAGCATGGCTGCCCACGGCGGGTGGCGAGAGCTCCACGTCGGGCAGTGAGAGGTGGAAGGTGCGCTCGGCCCCCGGGGACTGGTCTCCGGGCCCCCCTTCCCTGGCCTCAGCTCTGGCCCCCAGCGTGGGCATCTTCAGCCGCAAGCCACCCTCGCCTGTGGCTGCCTCCCCCACCTGCGCCTCTCGGCCCAGCCCCACGTCCAGCTCAAGCTGGGGCACTGACACAGCGGGCATCTTGAAGACGCCCTCACCTACCAACAGCTCGCCACCTGCCACCTGGGCTCCAGGCAGAGACAAGGTCACCTGAGGCACCTGGACCCTGTAGCCTGCTGTGCCCTCCGCTGACGGGGCTGCACCCTTGACCTGCTGCCCAGCGGTGGTGCCCAGGCCGGCCTCCCCGAAGCCAGGCAGCTCTACCTGGGGCAGGGAGATGCCCTGGGGCATCCTCAGCGCCCCCTCCTGGCCCTCAGTGCCTGCCGGCCTGGTCACGGACACTTGCGGGCCTGATGGCCGTACCCCACTGACAGCCACCGCCCCCTCAGCCCTCCCTTCCTCCTGGGCCCCCAGTGTGACCAGCTCCACCTCAGGGATCTTAAGCTGCCCAGCCACGGACTCTGGCTTTTCTCCCGGGCTGACACGTCCACCCTGGATTTCAGCTTCCTTCCCTCGAGCCAACCCAAAGGAGGGCATCTTCAGCTTGGGGATCTTCACCTTCCCATCCCAACCCCAGCCCTTGCCCTCCAGCTCAGCCACCCCTGGCGCTAGTTCTCCCGCCTCAGCGTCCCGGCCTCTGACCCCAAACTTGGGCAGGCCAAACCTGGGCCCCTTGACCTTGACATCAGCCCCCGCCACCTCCACCTTGCCTGTGGGCAGATGGGCATCCAGGCTGAGCTGTGGGATGGACAGATCGAGGGCGGGCAGCAGGCCTGCCTCCCCTGCCCCTTTGGACTCAGCTTCAGTCCCCGCTCGGGCCTTGGGCAGTGAGATGGCGAACTTGGACACCTTCAGCTTGGTGGCTCGCCCAGGCCCCTCAGCCTCTGCCTTGGCCACTTTGGGCCCCGAGAGTCCAAACTTGGGCAGGGAGAACTTGGAGGAGGGCTTGACTTTCATCTCCATCACCTCTAGCCGCCCTTCCTCGACTTCCACCATGGGCAACTGCGGAGTGACGATCTCAACAGAGGGCATCCGGAAGGCCGCTTCCCCGACCCCTGCGGCCGCCCCACGGCCCTCTGCCCGCTCCACCTTGCCCACTTCGGCTGCTGGGACCTGCCCCTCCAGGCTGAGGGCCCGTGGCAGGTCTAGCTCCACGGAGGGCAGTGTGAGAGAGGGGACACCCACACGAGCCTCGGGACCCACCTCCGGCTGCAGACAGGGAAGTGTCACCAGCTTCCCGGAGACCTCAGCCCCTGCCTCGCCTGGCTTGCCTCGCGATGGGGACTCTGCCCTCCCTAGCTTAGGCATGGTCATCTTGGGCATCTTGAAGCCAAATTCCATCCCCTCTGCCCGCTCTGCTTTTAGCTGCACCTCTGGAGCCTTGGGCAGCTTCACCTCGGGCGCCTTCGGAAGATGCACCTCTGGGACCTTGGGCACCTGCATTTCCGGCAGCCGCATCTCCGAGACCTTCGGCAGCTGCACCTCTGGGAGGTGGACGTCGGGCACGGCCATCTCGGGCACCTTGGGGAGTTTTATCTCCGGCAGTTTCATCTCGGGGAGCTTCAAGTCAGGGACTTTCATCTCCGAGACCTTTGGCAGCTGCACCTCGGGGAGGTGGACGTCGGGCACGGCCATCTCGGGCACCTTGGGGAGCTTCATCTCCGAGACCTTCGGCAGCTGCACATCGGGGAGCCGCACGTCGGGCACGGCCATCTCGGGCATCTTCGGGAGCTTCATCTCGGGGACTTTGGGGAGCTGCACTTCGGGGAGCTGCACGTCGGGCACGGCCATCTCGGGCACCTTCGGGAGCTTCACCTCGGGGAGCTTCATCTCGGGGACTGTGGGGAGCTGCACCTCGGGGAGCTGCACATC